AGTCAGCATGAGATTTGATCGAGATATAAGGATTTTAATTTTTGCTAGTAACAGGCGAAAAACCGATTTTTCACAACAATGCCTCTGGCGAAGTTATATTCATTTCTACACAAAAACAAATGTTGCCACTATGCTCAATGTAGTCGATTACCTATAGTTCATGGCATTTTGAGATTCTCAGAGGTGTCTGCTCGGGGATAGACACGTGCTCGGGGAAAGCGAGCCCTGCCCGAATAACGATAGGTAGAGAGCCGGGAGTTGCATAATTTTGTAGAGTAACGTCCGGACTATCTACGCATGCAAAAAAGTTACTAACATTGTATGTTAGTTTTCTGAGAACGGAGCTGGTTTTCCAAAGATACTCTGGAAACCCGATCTCTGGAATTTTTTCAAAAGTTGCTTCCGCTTGTGAAAAGTCCTGCTCAAGTCTTGGCTATTGAACGGCGAAAATCGCAGATCTCTATCTCATTCCTATCAAAAGTTATTCAAAAAGTGGCACCCGGCACTGTATTTTGGTATGGATAGTAGTATTGCTTTTCGGTAGAGTAATAGTAATTTTGTGAGTATTCCCATTATTAGTAGCAGGACTACAATTTATTGAGATTAGAACATCAGTTTTTACTCGGCTGGGAAGGAGACATAATGAGTGGACAAACACGTGAAAGTGAAATGTGCGTCTAGATCCAGAATCCAACTAGAGATCTCTGAAATAGTACACCTCTCATCACTGAGCTACTGATATACGATCCATCTATCAAATTATGCCTCATTCCTAGCTGTGTAAGAAATGTTCTTCTAGTTTCTTTCAAAACGCATGTTTCACACGCATTTTTATAGTATCACTACTATTAATAGCAGATACACATAGAACATTGCTGTTACCGGTAACAGAAATATACACAAAATTTGTATTATTTGTATAAGCAATACCCAGGAAGAAATTTTGGACCCTAGCAGGCCTTTCACAGGCATTAAAATTTTTTTCGCCTTTATGGCGTTAAAAACCTTCTTTTGAAGAATTTTAAGCCTTTACGCGACTTGAGATTTTTACCTCTGTCTCTGCAGTTACCCATGTGAACTGCACACGTTCGAATGCGTTATTTTTATGAACCTCTATAATATCTGTAAAGTTTTCTAAACAAGTTCATCTAAACAACTGTTTGCCGCCATCGTCATTTAATGCATGGAAATTCGTTAAAAATCAAAGCATGTTAATTCGTTCCAATTTTTCGTAGGTACTTAAACTCATTATTCCGCCTATTTTATTCTTCAATAAGCGTGAATACCTTAGCTATTATATCGCGAACTTCTTCGCATGCATTAGGTAGCTCGAAGGCCTGAAACGCGGTACAAGCGGCATTCCAGATAACTATCAATAGTTATCATCCTCAACTAAATAGCTACTGTATGTTGTCAGTCGCTCTACATGACTGGTTCGCGTGTGAATATTACCGATAAGATAAGAAAACATTCACGCTTGTACTTTCAGAGAATGTATACCCGAAGACATTATCGCTAGGATCAGTTTGTTATTAGAGCCAATCTAATATTCTGCAATTCTGGCGGAATGGCTGAACTCCAATCCTCGGTACTTTAAACAGAATCGAACTGATCGTCGTTACATAAGTCTTTTTTCTTTTTTTCGCTAATGTTTATTGAGCAGTGTTGGGTTAAACACTCAAGTGAAATAACAAAATAACAAGAACAAAAAAAAAACCGTTAAGCGTTAACGAAAAGATTTAATAACAAAACGTCATAAAAATGAGATGAAATGAACGTTAATGATAGAAAAAGGAAAAAAACCAGCGAAACATCTGACTAAAGACAAAAACACCAAATAGAGACTAGCTGAAGTTTAGAATAGAATAGCAAATAAAGATCTAACTAAGAGAAAGCGCGGATGGATAGAGTGAGATCAAATTTTTTTTCCTTGGGTTTAGGTAATCATACTAGTTAACCATTGTGGGAGGGAAGATGGTTTACAGATGCTCGAAAAAGTCCGTTCACCATGTTGATGCATCTCGGGGCTTTATCGAAAAGGACTGCATTTCGATAAGCCCAAACTGTTTTTATGAAATTTCCAATTTGAAACATCACATTTTTGCGTTGTGCCGCAGTGAGATCATATGAAAGAATATTTTTAAGATAGACGATTTCATTCGTCTCTCTCTCAACAGACACATGAGTCTCATCGGCAATCGAGGCTCGGAGCAGGTCATACACTGGCTGGAAAAAATTACACTCGATCCATTGATGATACGCTGATTCAGATTGATCGCCGAAAACACATTGCTTTTCCTGTTCAGTTCTACCAATTCGAGCGCGTATGTGTAGTGTGTTGTTCACTAATTTTACCCAAATCTTATGTGCACGTGTTGACATTTTACTCGACAGTAGGAGTTTAAAAACTTCCATATTCTTCAGATGGGCTATCCTACGGTAACATACTGGTGATCGAAAATGATACTTGTAGATGAGCTGAGGCATATTTGTGACCACATTTCCAAGTTTTGTTTTAAGGACATTTTGAGTTTAACTAATTCAAAAGTTAGTAATTGCCCCCGTTTGTCGATCGGTACCTCTAAGAAGCGGCACCAGTCAAGTTTAACCTGACCTTGAAATGCCGGTGGTGGTAGCCAATCATCAATCCAGAACACCTCGGTCTTCTCAATATTCGGTTTTCCACCTGATGCTTTATTGTAAAGATTGAACATTTTGATAGTCTCCCCATCTCTATTGAAAACAAATAGTATCAATGTCATCATGAGAGTCTTTTTTTTTGTTTTATTACAAGCTTCTACTGCCCGTAGACTGGCGTTGCTCTTCAAACAAAAAATTAACAAGAAAACGGAAAACAAACAATAAAGATAAACAATATCTGAAAACAACAACAACAAATATAATAAAAATAAAATAAAAAATATCTCATACATGTGCGTCTTATATTCCTTTTGTACATGCAGTAAAATAAAGCATAACTGCGAGTGCGGAGAGAAAAGTGACCTCCCAAAAATCTGACATCTAGACGAAAGCGTTGAGGATATACTACCAGAAAACAAACCCAATAGCATCTGACGAGAAATAATCTTCTCTCGAAACTAGAAACTGTCGCACGTTATACTACCCAACATGCGGGATGGAAGACATGTCAACATAAAGACTGCAATTCCTCCCTTTTTCCAGTGTAGCTGGTGCGGAAAATTCTCTGCCTCGAACACTTCCTCTTTAATTATCATTCCGTTAATCGAACCATGTTTTTTTTCTTCTTCTCTAGTAAGATCATCAAACCTAAGGAAAGGAGAGACGTTTTAACGAAGTTGTGGATCTGCTGAATTTACTCTTTCTTAAAGTTTGCTGGCGAACGGTTGTGAACGTAAGACTTAAACGTTAAGACACTCAACTGCCTCAAAGTGTATCATCACTACAAATAAATAGTCATTACAGAGTTGTAGAACTGCTGCATTTATTTTCAAAGATGAAATGGTTTATGAAATCTCGAGATCTTTAAAATAAAATATCGCCAACGTAGAATATCGTTGTCCTGATTTCGCTTTGTTTACGTTAAAAAGGAGCACAGTAACCGATACAGAGAAAGAGAAAGAACTGTTTGTTGACTTGTTTCGAAAAGTAGTTTTCAAACCACTTTGTCTGGAAGGGAAGGATGTTAAAATACTGAATAACAGATAAATGTCCTGAGGATATTACTAATATAATCGCGTCAGATTTCACATTTAGGCTCGTAGTCTGTACATAGATCAGTTTTTCTACAAAAAATCATCATTTGCCGCCCGATTTTAGATATTCACTCTTATCGGCGCTTAAATTTTCATTAATTTAAATTTGTACTGAGGCATAATTTTTGGTTTGGGTATTGTGGCTTGGTACTTGTACGTCAAGAGGCACATTTCAAACTTTGTTTTTACCAACTCTCTCGAATGAGAATTATTAGTTAAAGTTTTCTATTTGATTAGAAAGGACAACTTTGCAACCAACCTCGATCGGACCAGCGACAACAGCGACGGGTGAGTAGGTTGTACGAATAGTATATTATTCATTGTCATTTGTTATTCTACATAGAATCAACCGGTGTTTCGAGTATAATGCAGTCAATCACAGGTAAACAAATCATAAAGAGTTTGGATGTGCCACTTTTTTCCGTCTGTAATTATATGGAAGTCAATTGTATGCATCATGATTCAGACAGCTGAAGATGAGAGTGAGATAAGACAGCGAAATGGGATGACTTAAAATCGACATTGTAGACAAAAAAATTACAAAGGATAAGAAATAACACACTGAAACTGCAATTTACAGTATGAATGGTGATCGGGAGTAGTCTGTCGTTGTAGAAAAGTGCTTCTGTACTGAGGGCTCGTTTACTCCACTCTGTAGATTAAACTCGTAAGTCTTTGTAGTGCATTAAGTCCAATAAGATCGTTCCTTTGATTCTCCAAATTTGCAAACACTCTAAGAACAACAGAACACTACCAGTCACATGAAGCATGATCTTGATTTATATTTCATAGTAGTAACATCCTCATCCACAACACAGCCAGCGACATTAACAACACAACCGATGACATCCACAACGCAGCCAGTGACGCCCACAACACAGCCAGTGACATCCACAACACAACCGGCGACATCCACGACACAGTCACTGGCATCCACAACACATCCGACGGTATCCACAACACCCCCGACGACGTCCCCAACACAGCCAGCGACATCCAGAACGCAGTCAGCTACATCCACGACACAGCCGGCGACAACCACAACACAGCCAGCGACATCCACAACACAGCCAGCAACGTCCACACCACAACCGGCGACATCCACAACACAGTCAGCTACACCCACAACACAGCCAGCGACGTCCACAACACAACCGGCGACATCCACAAAACAGCCAACAACATCCACACCACAACCGGCGACATCCACAACACAGTCAGCGACGTCCACAACACAACCGGCGACATCCACAACACAGCCAGCAACGTCCACACCACAACCGACGACATCTACAACACAGTCAGCTACATCCACAACACAGCCAGCGACGTCCACAACACAGCCAGTGACATCCACAACACAACCGGCGACGTCCACAACACAACCGGCGACATCCACATCAACAACACACCCAGCGACAACAACATGCGTTGGTTCATGGAATCCTACAGCATCGCTTCAGTATGGAACGGGCACTGCTGGCAATGCATCAAATCAATTTAATTATCCCGTTGATATATTTATTGATAGTAGCGATAATCTTTATGTTGCCGATAACGATAACGGTCGAATCCAAAAGTTTGCAATGAGCTCAACTATGGCTACAACGGTTGCTGGCGGTCAAGGAGGAGGGACAAACTCAAATCAACTTAAAAACGCAGCCGGTGTTTTTGTCAATAGCGCTTATATATATGTTAGTGATGTACAGGCAGGGATTGGCACCCGTATACAACGATTTCCATACAATTCAGTAAGTGGCACCGCTGCAACAACCGTGGCTGGTGCATCGGGGTTTAACGGTGCCGCAACAGATATAATCGGGAACTGCTGGAGCTTGTATGTCGATAGCAGTAATAACGTATTTGAAACCGATTTCACGAATTGTAGAGTGTTAGAATTCCCGTCCGGTTCTACCAGTGGCTCGTACGGTACGCTCATAGCTGGCGATAGTACATGTGCAAACAGTTCGACTGAGTTAAATGCTCCGCACGCTATCACTCCAGATTCAGCGAATACCGTTTTTTATATCGCTGATAACTCGAATAATCGTATTCAGGTATGTCCACAGAGTGGCAGCGGTGCTTGTTCAACATTGGTAGGTGCACCCACAATAAACGCACCTTACGACGTTGAACTAGCTCGTGATGGAAATTTATATGTGGTCGAGAATACCCAAGTATTACGGTTTCCAGGCGCTTCAGCTACTGGTAGCGCAGTTTTATCATCATTAAATGGAGCTATAGCAATAGCATTCGACTCGCAAATGAACATGTATATTGCCGAATGGACTCAGCAGAGAGTGCTAAGATTCGATTACATATGCTGAAAGTGACTCAATAAAAAATTCCTTAAGGGGATCCTAGCTCTGAATTTTTGTCAAAACATATTCTACTTGTAAAATTAACAAATTATACATCATACGATGCAATTTTTCATGCTGATTCCGAACATTAATTTTCAATAAAAATGTTTCTCAGCTAAGGAAAATGAAAAGTACCTCAAAAACCAGGGTTTTGGGGGAAACCGATATCTGCATTTAGTCGCTATAGATGCAAGACACCGAGATGAACGTAAATTTTGAACGTTATCAGTAAATATACATGAAGAAAAAACTAACTGGAAATCAGAGTTAACAGAGAGTTGTAAAGACTCGACACTGTTGTAGCTACCAGAAAAAAAACGCATCCAGAACAGACACAATCACCAAACAACTTACGACTAATGTTGCCCAAACTCGTTGACTGCCCTAAGTACATGAGTTTTTCAATTATGCTGTGTATTTTTTGTTATTAAGAATAACTCGAAAAACATTATGTACTTTGAAAGCACCAAAAAGAAAAGTATGGTAAAGGATATTTATGGTACAGTCATATATTTTCGTCTACGATAACTTAGACACAAAGTTTCTAAGTTGAGGCAAATAGACTAATTTCGGTACGATATAATACATAGTTGTATTTTTCATGGTTGATCCCTAGCGAAAGTTCTTGAAGCCAAGAAAGCAAGATCTTAGGACATTTCTTGGGCTTTCTTGTGCATTTCTTGTAGCAAGAAAACTATTCCTTTGATGGTTCTTGCTGCAAGAAACCATGCTGTTGCAAGAAAATCTATTTTGGTGACTATATACAAGAAAGTCATTTCTTGCAGCGAGAATACGTTTCTTAGGTTCAAGAAAATCAACGATCGTTCATTATTACAGTATATCTTTGATTCACACCGGATTGGTTCTCACATTGGGTAAGTTTTTATTTGCAGAGGATGAGTAGATTAAAGAGCAATTTCAAGCGTAAACGTGCTAATGTTAGGTTCCACCTAACTTGTATGAATCTTCACTTGTATGTACAAATCTTTATTAAGAAAGCAAAGGCACCCCCTAGTACAGTATATGCCTGTGTATATATAGGCGAGAAAGAAAGGAAAAAAGAACGTGACAGAAAACATGATGTAATATAAACAGTGATGTAATATATACAATGGTGTCACAGGATGGCATGATGAGATAGTGACTATATGAAATACATTTCCTGGAAAGGAAATGTTTCTTCTATATAAACACGCAGTAGTATACTGACGCTACAGTATCTCTGTGCATTTTAGGTCTCGTGACCTTACACCTCCCCCCACCAAACAAGATGAACTGCCACGTTCATCGAGATTTAAATAGCTCTCACATGTCTGTTTGTTATTCAATCTTCCAGCACTGCCACTACTATTATCATTGAACCAACAATTGCATGCGAGTGTGTTCTTTGGGCCCAAATGAAACTCATACGCTACCACCAGATTTATGTTTTCACTTTGGGATGCTGTCGGTTAAAATAAATGGTTTTCAATGTCTGGTGAGAGCAATGGTGGTCGATTTCGTTTTAGGACTGGATTTCATACGGCAGTACAAAGTAGATATCCGATCAGCATAAGAGTGTCTCAATATTCACTACCGACAACGGCGAGTATCAGTGAAATTCGACTTGCAGAAATCCAGCAGTGTGCGATTAGCCCAAGAATGTATAATACAGCCAAAAAGTGAATATGTAGCGGACGTCACAGCATCCGAAATTGGAAATGCTAACAACATTTTATTTGAGGCCATCGACAAGAGAACACAACAAAATAACCGGATTCAAATATGCGATGGCTTGGTAATAGTGAACGACAACAACTTCCGGTTAACCCTCTTTAATCCAACAACCACAACGGTTACACTCCAGAAGAACATGAAACTGGGCGCGATTAGTCGCCTATTACTGAATACATATTTCTCTACGATGATTGCAAGTGAACAACCGATACAGCAGGATTACAAAGATCACAATTCAAACGATCCTCCACTCGCGCTTTCGCGTACTGACATACTCTCTCAGCATCTGAGCGACAATGAACAATGGCACGCTCAACTAACAAGTGTTTTACAACACCATCGAGCACTGTGCGACACATCTCAACCACGAACAATCAAGACCCCGATTCATCACGCCATCAATACCGGCGATCATCCTCCGACCAATGCCAAACCATACTTCAAGCCCGTTGAACAACGAAAGAACATTCAACAAGAAATAGATAAAATGTTAAAAAATGGCATCATTATTCCATCTCAGTCTCCATGGTCATCGCCAGTCATTCTATTGAAAAAGCCAAATGGAGAATTTCGATTCATCGTAGACTATCGAAAGCTCAATTCAATCACAAAGACAGACTCGTATCCTCAGCCGACAATGGAAGAGCTGCTCCAATCATTGGGCGGCCATTCATGGTTCACAAAATTAGATTTGAAAAGCGGCTATTACCAAATTCCGATTCAACAGCAGGACAAGGAAAAAAACAGCCTTTGTCACTCAAGACGGCCTGTATCAGTTTGAGGTGTTATCCATGGGATTGATGAATGCCCCACCGACGTTTCAACGAGTAATGAACAACATCATTGGCTACAACCAGTGCGACTCTGTAGTAGTATATCTCGATGACATCCTGATATTTTCTAATTCATTTGGAGAACATATGAAACATTTGCAAGAGGTCTTCGGTGTGTTAAGTGAACACCAATTCATGCTAAATCTCGACAAATGTTCACTAGCTAAACAAGCAATCGATTTTTTGAGTCACACCATCACGGAAGATTCAATTATTCCATCCAGAGAGAGAATACAAGCCATCATTGCCATTCCCCAACCAGAAACATTAGCTCAAGCGAACAAATTTATCGGAAAAATAGGATGGTACAGAAAATTCATGCTAAAGTTTGCTAAAATTGCTGCCCCTATTCACAAAGTCACAAACAAGATAAAGAGGAAGAAACACGAGTTCTATTGGCATGATGCACAAGTTCAAGCGGCGAACAAATTGAAACAACTGTTGACAGAAGAACCATTACTACTGAGATATCCACATCCAACGGCACCATTCATTCTGGCTACGGATGTGTCCGAGTACGCCATTGGTGCTGGATTAAAACAAATTTTTGATGGAAAAACTCACTACAACTATTTTCTGTCGCGGTTGCTGACAACGACCGAGAGAAATTACAAGACAATTGAACGTGAAGCATTAGCTATCTTCTGGTGCATGAAGAAATTGGAACAATATTTGGGTGGACGAGATGTTATCATTCATACCGATCACAAACCATTGGCGCAATTTCATAAGAAAAACAAATTCAACAGCAAACGTATCGATGAATGGCTAGTGAAACGTCAAGACATGCTTCCACAAATGGTCGATGTAACATACAAGAAGGGAAGCACACATGGCGATGCTGATGGAATGTCAAGACCGGAAATTCACCCACACCAACACTATTTGAATACCATTACAAGATCAATGACAACTACGGCCGTTCACAAACCTGTCATTAATCACGACAGTCAATCGACAGTCCCGTTGAACAATACTGATATGGCACCAGCATCGATGACATTTGATTTAAGTCTGACCCGAATTCGAGACGAGCAGCAGCACGATTCTCACATTTTAAAGATTAAAGAACAGCTGAAGACCGCGACCCGATCTTATTCAAATTTCATCATCGAAAATGATCTTCTATACAAACTGGTAACACAACCGCAGGCAACGATGCTAACAAAATTGATCTACATTCCATCCTCCATGAGAGAAGAAGTCCTTCAGAGCTACCACGATCACCCAACGGCGGCTCATTTTGGCGTCAATCGAACATGGCGCAAATTGAGGACGAAATGTTATTGGCCAATGATGAAAGAAACCATCCAAAATTACATTCGATCGTGTGAGAAGTGTGCAAAGTTCAATCTCCGTCGAACAAAATCTCAACCGATCGACTATATAAAAATTACAACCGATCGACTATCCCCAAGGAGCTTTGGAGCTCGTGGGCATGGATTTTTGGGGACCCACACCACAATATTCCACACACGGTAACAAATACGTCTTGGTCATCATCGATTATTACACCAAGTACGTAGTCGCTCATCCACTTCCAGACACCACGGCAGCTACAACAGCACAATGTTTCGTCGAGCAATTTGTACTTAAATATGGCGTGCCACGACGGCTGATCACCGATCAAGGCACTCACTTCAATAACGACCTAATGAACAATACCA